TTGTTGGGAAAGTAGCCGTTGCACTCACAAACTCACATCCCCACCTTCCTGACCGCCCAGGATGCGTGTCTCCGGACACATGCGTCGAGCTGCTTGGAGATTGAGTCAGATTTGTGGAAAGACAGGGCTTCGAAGGGTTTGTCCGGGACCTTTGTGCGCTTTTCGATTGATGAGATTCTCCTTGTAGCGTGGGGGGTTCTCCAAATGAGGCACCCCAAATTCAAAACCAAAAGAAGTTCAGATTCATGCACTTCTACAACCAGGGATCTTTGGGCCTTGTTGTCAACCAGACATCAAACGCAATGTTTTCTCATGTTTTCTCATTGGTGTTCACCCAGACGCACATCTGCATTCCAAGGTTTGACAAACTCTTGTTGTAGTTTTGTTTGACGTTGTTTTTGTTGTATGTATGTTTGTTTTTTGGGTTTTGTCATTTTCGTCTTTGGTAGGAACATGTAGCACCCAGTCTTTCTACATCCGAAGCCCCTTCGGCTGAGTTGACCATCCGAAATGCATCATTTTTGAGTAGGGCAATCTACAGAGGGTGTGTGTCTGTGTGTGAGGCATAAACTAGGACCAGCGAGCAACTGCCATTCATGGACTTTTCAGTGAGCAAATGCTTTTATATGCTTTTACAGAAGTGACTACTATGGACTTCGCGATTAACGGCCATTCTCGGTGAACCCTTCGCTGTCTGAGCGACAAGGATTTGGATACCAAATTACTAATTACCAACAGTTTGACTAAAAGCAGGAGATGTTGAATTCTTCTTATCAATCAACTCTGTATGTCTTTGAGGTTTGCACCGGGTGTCTGGGCGTGCAAGCAACATTGGGTGTCCGGTTCAAAGTATAGATGTGTCGTGTGAGGACTCCCTTGTCCAGCCACAAACTGGTGGCTTGTCTACTTCCATGTGTTCGGAACCGCGGTGTCAGATAGCCCTGCTCTTAGCTGTGCCAGGAAGCACAGGGCACTCGGCGATGGGGGGTACCTTAGTAAGCCTTAGTATTTTTAATCTGGGGTACCTGCCAGTTGCTGGATTACTTTTCTGGATTATTTTGTTTGGATTTATTTTTTTCCTGAAAGTGGTGAGGGGGTATAGTGGAGGGCACCCTCGGACTATAGCTGCTGTGACTGAGCGATCTGCAGACATCTTGATTGCTGACTTGCCCAGACAACCCAAGCAAACAGTGTGGAACGTTTATGAAAGGGGAGGCTTCTGGATGTCAGATCATTCAGGATTAACAAGTACTGGAAAAATATATAACACATTATATATCTCAGATGTGGGCCACATTCAGGGTCAATTTTGCAAAAAAGACTCCAGGGTACCTGGATTAGTATACTTAATCCAGGGGTCCTGCACAGGGGGATTGTGTAAGGGACCCGCCATACTCAGCGTTTCAGAATTGCGATGGGAGCTTGAACTCCCTGGTTGCCCCGCCAAACGGAAGAAACTGGAGTACCAGGCTCACTAAGTCCTTGGGGGGGTCCTCGCTTGCGGAGGGTTCAACATCCTAACATCCTGTTTCAGGGTTTTCAGACCGAGAATGGTTGGAGATCATGGTTTGGGATGGTTTGCTACCATGACCCATATTCCACATTCCATATGGAGTCACAATTTTCCGTGAAGACTTCCCCCAGCTCTGGAAAGGCTGCCGGTTGGAAAGGGCCGTCGCAGTGAGGAGAAGCTGGACACAGTCATCGGGATAGTGGTGTTGTTGAACTCGCTGACTATGGCGATGGAACTGGAATGTGAAGGCTGTTTGACGACAAGCTGGACACAGAAACACAGAAGCTGGCCACTGGTATTCTCACTTGGGCAACGGGTCACGGTTTTTCAAAGGCACATGGCACATGAGTCAACCTGTTAGGTGCCAGTGGAAAAGTGCAGGTTCTGGACAGATGGCACTGCTCCCCCAGTGATTTCACTATGTAGAGAATGCAACCACCTAATGAGTTCGGACGGTGCCAGGAGGAAACTAGAGGAGTGGTTAAACCACTTCTCAATGGAGACATGTTCTTGGAGTGGTTAAACCTTACTAAACAAGCGAACGATCGTTGCGTGTTTGGCTTGCAGTTCTCGTCACCAGCCCAGGCTGCTAGGTGACTCTTCACTCCGACAAACACCTTCCATTCTAGTTCTAATGAATTCTTGTTTCTACTAGCTTCTTGTTCCTAGTAGTACGGCCAGGAGCCCCTAGTAGCTCCTAGTAGCGATGCCAGGAGCCCCTAGCTAGTAGCGTCCTTGTTCCTAACATTCCATGGAAGTGGATGGCATGGTCCCTTGGAACACGCATTTTCCTCTACGAACAACTCCTACCTAATGCGACGTGTCGTGTGTCGTGGCGCTGAAAAGACCTGCACGGAGTTGTTGTTCTGTGCATCCCAAGCCTTGTTCTTTCATATGACGGAGTGGTGCCCCAAGCGCACTAAGCACTTCGAAGTGCGGGGAAGGCCAAGAAATCATCACAATTAGCAATGGAAGATGAAATTCACTTCCAATGCAACGATAGATTGCAGTTTGCAGTCAAGACAGTATCAATGGAATTGGACCCTTGCAAAACTTTTCAGACTCAGACGCTTTATATAGAGGCACTATGGACTTTTGTCTCAACCAAGTCGCTCTGCATAGAGAATCCTGTGATCATTGTAGGGTACAGCTGGACCAAACTTCAATTGGTCTCATTGGACCAATCCCTTGTGGGTACTGGAACAGGGAGACGGTTGACAGAAGTTTCTGGAAGAGGCAAGGTCAACAAAAATCCCGTGGTTGCAACGTCTCCTTCTTCCCTCGTTGCAACGGACGCCGTCACTTTCGCCGGTGAGCGGCGGCCGAGATCGCCGTGCCAGGGCAGGTCGCGGGCGAGCGGGTTGGGATGCCCGAACTGCTCCAGTGTCATCACCACATCAGCTTCTACATCGCAGAGCCGCTTCTTCTGCAGGTTGGGGGAGAGGTGAGGGAACATCGGCACAGTCCCAAGACCTCGACTTCCTTAAACCAGAATGGAGCGAGAAGGCGAAGCTTTTCCTCCGCCACTTCTGCTGATCCAAGGCACGTCTTTACCATCATCTTCGTGCTGGTGCGGCATCCAAGCGCTGGGTGGTTGGATGGTTTTCCGGTGTCCGTGTCTCCTCTTGGCCAATGGGTTTGGGCGGTCTTCGCATCAAGGAAGATTGCTTCTTTGTTTGTGAAGCGCAGAAGAAGCACAGAAACAGAGTTGAAATAGATCAGCCTACAATTTGGCTCCCATTCCAAAACGTGAAAAGACAATAACAATGGGGGCATGTTAGAGATCATCCATAATCCACGGCTCTGTCTGACCATGCTGCTTGTTCGCAATACATAGATTATCATAGATTCTCTGGGTGGGTTGGTGAGTTGTTTCTCTTTTTGGTGTCTCAATAGTCCCACGGCGTATCTATTCACAGCAGGCAAAGTATCCATTGGGCCACGGGTCTCCTCATTTGGGCCAGGACGACTCTATCATCGTTGACGCAACAGCTGGTTTGATTGAGCAATTAATGCAACAACTGTTGGAAGAAGCTATAAACTCTATGCCTTTCTTGGATGTCAGGCCTATCGGCCCAAAGGCTTTCTTCTTGGAATCTGGGGCAACACCGCAAAGTGGGGAGGCCGAACCTTTCTGGGTGACCAACGGCAGGAAGATGTTTGAATATACACTCGCTGGGCCCTGAACTAATTATGGAAGTGGATGGCACCACCTATTTAGTATTCGGAAAGTTATCCGAAATCGGGGCCATGCCATCCACGTAACCATGTTTGGTTCAGGGAGTGTAGCTGAACTTGCTGAGTTCAAGGTAAATTCTGAACAGACTTCCACACACTTTCATGACTGATATTATTCTTGCAGGAAGTGCCTCTCGGAAACCCTGGAATGCCTTAGGGAAGCTTGGATATCTGCCTCAGGAATCTATCAGCTATAACTTAGAAACATAGTAATAAATGACGTGAATCGTCATTGTTGTATATTAATGCAATTTAATACCAGCATCTCCAGACTTGGGGTTATTTTGGTCGGCTACAGAGTAACAGGAATAAACTCACTGGGCAAATGGTCAGCACTGAGTGGTCAAGTTCTTTTTTTTTCAGATTTGTGGGTGGAACAGGTACAACAGACCATGCGCAAGTGTGGACAAGAAGGATGCAGGTGTGTTCATGATCAGATTGAGGGTACGGTGTTGAGGTATTATAGACAGAATGAACAGATTCATTGACATGTCCACCCAAACAAACAAGTTCTCAACTGCATGCTGCATACTGGATATCCTTTCCCTCATATACCTTCGCTTGTTCAACTACGGTAAGTCCATCCGTCCGTCAATGCAGCGGTCTGGCCAGGAATTGGCTTGGAGGGTTACTTGGCTTGGCAATTGACTGGAGGATTCCTTGTTCCAAGTAGGCCGGCAGGATCCATGGTCAAACAGGGCGTCCACTGGACAGTTGGTGTCCCGATGGACGGGACAATCCTCCCCCCGAGAAGCCCGATGGACGGTGGCACTTGTTGTTCTGACTCCAACATGTATTTAAGACTTGTTTTTGCTACCTTTGGAGGTCTGAAAGATCACAGGTCTTTACTCTAAAGGTCAAAGTCATCGACATCTATTGCTATAATTCGACATCTAATGTCATGAAAGTGGACTGAACATTGGGAGTTTGGAGTTGGTCGGTGGCCATGGCATCCACTGCAATGCGTTTGGTGGGAGTGCACTTTTTCATTTCATATTTCACAGTTCCTTCACTTGGAAACTACTTATCAGCACCGCCAAGAAACCAAGAATCTCACGTGGCCAATGGATACATGTTTGCTCACCAGCCATGAAGCTTTTTCAAACACATGGATCCTCTATGATCCGCTGCAAGATTCTCGAGTCACCTCAAGAGCCCACCAAAACGAGACAGAAGACCATGGGTGTTTCGGTTTGGTTCGTTGTTGAAAAGGCCATGGTGTTCGGATTTGCTCCCCGACTGGTGCGATGCTCAAGGCGCCACCAGCGCCGCATTGTTTCAAGTCCTTCGCGGGACAGCCGAAAGGGCTTGCCACACCCGGCGCGCCTAGCTGCGTTTCGCCATGGGTGGTGGTGCCAGCAGCGGTGCCAAGCGGAAGGCACCCAAGGAGAGAGCACCAGAGGCCAGAGTGGACATGTTTTCTCTTCGTGAGCTTCTTGGTTGGCAACCCACTTGACCATACAGACCCATCAATGCAAAGAAGTGAACCACAGAGAACCAAAGGCGACCGTTGGACACAGACATCACTGCTCGCGCGTCACCCGTCCTCCTCCACGGGCCGCACCGCGGCCGTGTGTTCGCGAGCGCAGGGGGTGGTCCCGTCCAAGCCGCGGCATGCAGACGAGTACTTGCGCCAAGTCCAAGCCGGGAACCACCCATCCACGCGGGTGGGGAGGACAATGAAGGGTGATCATCCCACAGAGTTGAACGGTCAATTTGGGGATCATCTCGGCAACTCAGGAACCTCGATCATCATTTTGATGGTGATATATCAGATATATCACCATCAAAATATCAAAATGATGATCAAGGTAATATATCAAGCAATTAGGTAGGGTCTACGGTCCATTGATGGTTAGTTCAGCGTGCGTGTTCACCGGCCACACCCGGGTGGGGACCGGTGCCCGCGAGCCGCAGGGGGGGGTAGCCAAAATGTATGCCCCTTTCTTTTAGTATCAACAGAATGGGCTCTTAGGAATGAGTGAGCTGAATATTATTCCTTATTTTTATAGATAAGTTCACTGAGTTCAGCCAGGGCAGGAGCTGTTGGTGTTGCCAGGGACAGCGATCCACAAGATCGAAGTGACTGGGAGAAGGATGGAAGAAAATATTTCCACCACTTTCCCTCTTTAAGTCCCCCGATGTGGTGGTTGATGTCAGGATTCTTGCCTCAAAATTCCCCAAGATTGATCAATCATGATCAATCTGCCCTTTGAGCTGTACTATATCCTGAATTCTGGGCTTACCCTTTGCTCAATCTGCTGGATTGTTCTCTCACCAGTTCTTCTCAGTTCTCTCAGAAGTCCTGATGAAACGCACGGGCGCAGTCCTCTGGTTTGGACCTTTCGACTGTCGACCATGAGCCAGTCGGATACGTGTGGGTTCGTCGCTTTACTGGATAGGACTGAACCCACCAAGCAAGAGCCATCAAGAGCCTGCACAATTACATGAAAGGTTATTAGAACTCAAGAGCTATTCCTTTGGCGGCAGGGCTTGAAAAAAGAATATCATCGAACATGATATTCATCATGGACTCGTCCTTTAGGCTTCGCTATCAGTTTTAAATATCCAAGGCTGTTCCAAGTCCTTCCTCCCCATCGGGCCCCATCGTTCTTCGCCACACTTACAGCAGGCCGACCGAAAAGCCAAGCGCTCCACGAAAGGGCGTGCCACTTGCAGCACTTGCTCCACTGGCTGCACGAGTCGCTTGACCAACCAGAGCCTCACCAGCGAGCGGAGCCAACGGAGTGTGCGGAGCAAGGGTACCAGTGGCACGCCCAAGAGTGTGAGTTACTCGGCTGTGCAGGTGCAGCGAGTTTGGGTGTTTTGTTTTTTCTTTTTCGCAGAAAGCGATAGCTACAGGGTTCTTACTTAAAAAAGAATGACCATGCGCACTTTCAGGACACGCTGCCTGTGCTGGGTGCCGGTGCTGGTGCTGTGAGCTGGCCGTGCATGCTGTTGCAACAGGGTGTCCGTGCTGGGTGCCGGTGCTGGGTGCCGGTGCTGTGTGGTTTCGCCAGAATCTGTGGCATCGTCTGAGTGTATCTGAGTGTGGGGTTGGCTTAAGAAGATGGACGTCTTTCTCTTCAGGTCAAAAGGGTGGGTCAGTACAACCATCGGCCTGGTGGTGGACCACCACCAAGTGGTGTCCCAAAGGACCATTACAGTCTGCCTTGTCGTAGCTTGTGAGGTTCATGGATCCAACAGTTTTGTGTATGGATCTTCAACATGCCCAACACCCACCTCACCTTGAAGGAATCAATGGCACATGCCCTTCAACAAGCCCAAATACCCCTCCTTGTAGGACTATGTCAATTGGCTCATGGCTCGTGGGGTGTGGACCTGCACCACCATGTCGGTCATCCGACGTCGGTGAACTTGTAGTGTGGAAGCCGTGGAAGATAAGTTGACCAATCCAACAAGCCAAGGAAGGTTCTTACGGGTTTCGCGGGCTGTAGCGGCTAAAGCCACCCTTCTGTGGGTTCTTTCAAAAGGTTGGGTTCTTTTATAAGCAGCAAAGATCCGTGTTTCCTTTTGTTCAGCCCACTCTTCGGTCCCTTGTTTGTTCTTTCAGATGCGCTTCCATCCTCATGCTTGAACGAGAGAGATTTTGGACATACCTGATGCAGGCATTTTCAAGAGGAATTGTACGGTATGGCTGCGCTTGGAAAACTATCAAGGAGACAGCAGAGTACACAAACTGGTCGAATCAAATGAGCATGCAGCATGGATTTGGTACCAGGGAGACCCGGTGCCACGTCTTACACCACCTTGGATACATCCAGTTTCTCTCTTTTTGTGCAGACGACTGCATCAAGTCGCACGACGCCGCACTGTGCACCGAGGATTTGCTGGCCAAATGGAAGACGTTTTGGATGCTCGAACTGCACAGTGGCCAGTTGAACTGCCCAGCGGAACCGTTTTCGTAGAGGGCCAAGCCATCTATGCCACCTGGGCCTTAGTAGTGACATGTAAGACTTCTGGCTAGAATATCCAAGTGGGAGTTTGGCAAACACCTGAAATTCAGGCATTTCAGGAAGACAGACCACTTCTGTCGGGATGTAGATGTATGGAGAGCGGAGAGGCCCGGCGAACAACCTGTTTGTTTGGGAAGTCTCCCGATGTTCAGCCAAACACGGGTTTTCCTGAAGCAGGTAAGGGTTAGATTGTTAAGTGATTCGAGTTTGAAAAGGAGTTGACAAGAATCGTATTGTTTGACAAGAATCGTGTGAAAGCACATGAAACTCACCTGTTTCAAACCTGAAGCAAACCGAACGTACTTGGAGGGTGTGAACATCAGCGGATCTCCAGTTTCAAAGCTCAGTTTCTCGCAGCACTCCGATCAGATCATGTGTGACTCGTGCCTGAATCACCATCCCAGTGAAGAAGCCTGGCTAGCTAGCCAACAAGCAACCAGCTCAAATCCAAAGCAGCTGTCTTTGACCATGCCAGCAAAAGCTTCAGCTCTACAGCCAAGTGGTTGAAGTCAAGCTAGCTAGCGCTAACAGGATGCAGGCTCCAGCAGGATGGCAGCACTGGAACGAGCTCACTCGCAGCGCCGCAGGTGGGGAGATTATCTGAGACAACCAATTGCTGGCCAACGATGCAAAGGTATTGGATGCTGGAATTGCTGAAGGTATCGCTGTGAATGTTGTCTCCAAACCAAACGCAGTGATAGCCTCCAACCAAGATGAAATTGCCAGTCTTGGCAACATGGTTGACTCGGAACTTCTCCGCGTGGTCGAAAGTCCAAATCACGAACCACAAATTACTTCTTCAACGGCCTTTCGCAGATTGCCACATTGGCCAGGTTGACCATCCCAGAGTCAGTGATCCACATTGGGCAGCATGCCTTTGCATGTTGTAGTGCTTTTGGCGAGCTTGATCCCAGACTCAGTTGGTGCCTAGCATTGGGACTATGCCTGGGAGAGAGGCTAGGACAAACGTCTGGAGGCGGGGTTGAGAAGCTTTCTCTGTCCTTTTGGCTCATTGATGTGCAACAGCCTGCTTACCTTCGGCCTTAGCCACGCCATGCCACGCCGGGAACATGAGTTGTAAGATTCCGAAGGTTTGGGCAGAACACATCCCAGGGGCATTGACAGTTGACAGGTTCGACAGGGGCATTGAGAGCCTATCCCAATGTATACGGAAACTAGCGCATCAACCCCGACAAGACATTTGGCGTGGCATGGTGTTTTGATGGCCTACAGTACCCGAGTGCCTCTGAGCAACGCGGAGGAGTCTTTTATACTCGATGCACTTGTTTGATCTAATGGCTTTAAAGTCGTGAATGAAACTGCGTTCGGCAACCCCTTCTTTAGAATCATAAACTTGGTCAGCAACAAGTCCCCTTGCGAGCAGCACCATAAACCTCCATATGAAAGAGAATTCCAACGCACCTGGAACGATTGAACGACATGTGCAGGCTTGGGCTTTGGGGTTTTGCTGGTGTCCACAGGTACTGTACAGGTTTTTTTCACGATCCACAGCCACAGGAACGATTTTTGATCCACTGCCATATCAGGGGGAATTGTTGCGAAAGAATCTATGATCGATGCAATGATGTGCATTGGCGCCACCTCGAGCCATCTGCCAGTGGTGGGTGGGGATCAAGATTAAACATGTTGTAAGACAATAATGTTTGTTTTTGTTTGCTTATATAGTACGGACTTGACCATAAACCATAATCAGAACCCATCATAACCCATCATTGTGAGATTGGTCCACTGATGGGTCCGATGGAAAGAGGTCGAAGGATCCACTAGTCGAGGTTGTCGCGTGTGTTTGTCCTCAGGAAGTCGACTATTGCGAGGATGGGACGAAGGATGATCTCACACGAGCCACTTGGGAGCGAGAAGGAGCAGTGTAGAGGAAAGTACCAAACCATGTACACAAGAGAATGTGATAGGGAATTGCATTTTTGTTCTAAGAGAATGGGCGGGGCATTTTGTGTGATACCATGACTTGGAACAGGTTTGAACCATAGGAGTTCCAAATATGGAGATTCTGGACATCTTTTCTGTGCAACGGTCTGTGATTTCATCTGCAGCACCAATGTGAAGTCTCGCACCAGGAGGGCCTTGACGAATGACGAACCCACGTACGTGTCACGGAAGGTGTTTGCGCTGCATATCAAAGCACCAACCCAGTACTGAAAGAGTTTCATGTCAGTGTCTTTGCAACCAAAGTCAAATTCCACTTGATCTCATTCACTCATTGCTCATCACCAAGCTCAAGAGATGTTCGTAGCGAACCAGTTCTTTGAAGAGTGAGACCAGCGAAATGCCCAGACATATGCACAGCTTTGATGCGGAATATGCGAGTTGACCCCGAACGTAACTCAGTCTACAGCTAGGCCACCGATGGAGTTGGGTTGCCAACAAATCTGACGACCCATCACCAAATCGGTCATGGTCGACCTAGTAGATGGGATCAATGACCAATGGCTTGATGGGTCTAATATATAGTCATAATGACCTATCATCATCTCATCACCAAATCAGGTTTTGGAAGACGATGAAGAGCACCTCACTGCTGAGCCGGAGCCCGCCAGCAACTTGGCCGAAGGTCATGTTTGCCACCGCCATGGGCTGGGCCACGACATCATGACACCATCGGCTGGGCGGGTGATGGCGGGCTCGAATCCAGTTCTTGCGCATCCACAGGCGCCTGTAGTGGCCTAAACAACGTTGTGTTGTTCTGATGGCCAGTCCAAAAGCATGGCAGGGACGGGAGGTTCGACACACCTCAGCTGCAAGTGGCACATGAAGTAAGCTTGCATGCATGCAAACATGTGTGCAAGCACATCAACTTGCAACATGGCCACATGCATGTCAACATGCAACATGAATGCAACCACATCAACATGCAATGTAAACATGCAACATGAATGCAGCCACACATGATGTCCATGCAGCGTGAGTGAATGAGTGTAAGCCAGGCTCAAGCCCTTCAACTTGCAAGCAGGCAACTCTTTCGATGAAGTTTTCATCCAGCCACGTTAAGGGTGTATCTATGTTTGTGCAAGCCACTGACAAAATGTTTACTGACACATGCAATCTAGAAACGGTTGGCCGATAAGATCCAACCTGCCTTGCGATCTAGCTGATCCTGGTAGAACATCCTCAGGCACTATTTTGTCACTAGCAAGATCCACTGCAACATGGAATGTACGAAGGTGCCCAAATGCTGAGCTGGATCTCTTGCTGCATGTGCACTTTGGAAACCTTTTGTACAACTTTCACTGCTGTTCACGCGCATATCTATTGAGGGCACTGCACCCTTCCTCAGCTACATGTCAAACATCAGCTTACACGAAGCATTTATGTTGGCAATGTTTAATGCGGCCCAGAAGGCTGTCATCCCCTGAAATGCCGTAACACATGTCAGTGCTTGCTGGCGAGATAGCCACATCTTCCTTTTCTCCACAGTCCTGAAGTACACATCGATGTTCTGCAGCGTCCAGCGAAGAAGAGCACGATGCCATCAGGAGCTTTCTGAGCACATTGCAGAGCAATCAGACACAAACACAAAGTACGCAGAACATTCTCTGAGTCAGCAGACGAGTCGTGGCCAGGGATGAAATCCGTTATTCACGACTTGCAGGAGCCATTTGCTCAGGACCGTTGTGCCATGAGCTTTCCCACAAGCCCCAGGGAAGCTTTGAGGCCTCAGCTCATGAAATCAGTTTGTGGGGCACTAGCAGGCTTGCAGAACCTCCAGCGCGCACACACACACCCACACCTTGCGCAAAACTGCAGCCAAACAGCGACTGCATCTTGAAGGATCTGGAAATCGAGGTTGTGAGCCGTTCTGCAATGCGGAACGCGCGGAATGACTCGTAGGCATTGCCCAGCTGTTGCTCTATGTTTGACCCACCAAAGAGTTGCCAATAGGCACTTGGTGCGGCGTGGCTACATGCCACGCAAAGTCCCTACTGCACGCACTATTGTGCATCAAGGGCACGATGGCGTGTGTGGGGTCTCTCCTTCCTCCACTGTGCATCCTCTTTCAGGTTGTGCCAATCCTTTGACAGCTGCACGCAAGCAGACCACTCCCAAAACACATGCACTCCTTAAGTGCAAGCCAATCCAGCACACAGTGACAAGTGCAAGCAGGACGCAACTGATGAGCAATACTGGCGCTTGGCGGGTGGAAGCAAAACCAGATGATAGCTTGTGGCATGTCAGCCTCTGCCTTTGCCAAAGCCTCAAGTCGCACCATCTTCCTCACCCTCGCTGCTTCTGCTTCCTCCGCTTTTCTTTTCAGTTCAGCCTGAAAAGCTGCCTTATTGGCCATGAGGGACTTCAGTTCTTCAACTTGTTTCACAGGCACACACCGTTTTTCTTCAGCCAGTGCAGAACCTTTGCAAGTGTGAGTCTGTGGATGAAGTGCGACCTGCTGCCATGCATGGGCCCAACCAGATACGTTGCATGCGTGTGAGTAATGCATCATGAACCATGAAGCGTGCTTGCACATGCGTGTGCATCATGAATCATACGTGCGCATGCGTGTGAGTCATGCCTCATAAATCATGCGTAGGCATGCCTGTGAACACTGCGTGCAACTAAGAAGGCATGGAAGGGGCTGAAAGACAAAGCCCTGGCCACCCTCTCTGAACTGGGAAGGCCTATGGGCGGCGCACCTGACAAAGCGTTTTGCCAATGCAATGTCTCAGTTGCAAAGCTCTTTAGGCAGGTGCATGTGCAGGGGTGCGAAGGCTTGCAATCTCACCTGCGCACAACATGCACGATTCACAACTAGTCCAGACGTTTGCGCCTGGAGTGGTCAGAACTTCAAGCTCACCATGCACAGCAGAGACTTCAGGCGCAGGTGGTAAAACCAAGGTGCCAGCTGTCGGCACTTCGCGTGCGCCATGCCGCCGAGCAGAGGCTTCATCAAAAACCTGAGGCACCAACGCCAGCTCTCAAGGACTCTTCAGCATCACTGGCCTCATCTTCAGACCCATCGCTAGATTCATCTCCTGCAGGGGACACATCCCCAAGCCAAGACGTATAAGCCACTCAGTGGTTTGTCCTGGGAGGGGCGTGCAGCTCGGATGTTAGGATTTCGTGGGATGTGTGGCCTCCTGAAAGGGCAAGCCCGAAGATGTGTGTAACGTGTGTAACATGTCAGGGCGTGAGCTGCGTGCATGTGGCCTTGATGCACGCGTGCAAAAACATGCGTGAATAATGCGTGACATGTGTCTTTGCAAGGCGGCTGAACATGAACATCAGCTGCTTGCTCACCCGGGACTGCATCTTGTGCTTGACGTTTTGCACTCATGAATGCCACCCGCAACATAACCCATCAATGAAGGCAAAAAGGCCTGACGTGGCGTGACATGACTAGAAAACATGGGCGCCATTTGCATGCTAGTGGCTGCAAACTGATTGGGTTCTTGGGATGCAAAGGGTCATGAACTGGTACACAGACTGCTCAACAAATGCTCTGACTGGGCCAATCACAAGCTTGTTGCGGCGTAGGTCACCTTTGCCCATGTGTGACAGTCATGCATGCGCAACCATGCAAGCACAAGTGCGCTGCAAAATGAATTGCAATCAGGACTCTTCACAAGAGCTTCGTCCCAGCAATGACACACAGGCTGCCTTGCACGCCTAAAGCCCACGCAGTGGACAGCGCAGCTGCCTGCTTTCAAACAGCCGCGCCACTGTAAACAAGAAAGGCACACAGCAGCCAAAACTGCTTCTGAGAAGTCCACTGGCGCATGCATTTATGTGAAGGCAGTTGCGTGTAAACCGGTATTGCGCAATCATTGGAAGACTCTGCATCATGCATG